ATAATGCTAAAAACTTGTTCATTGATTTAGCCGAAAGTATTGCCGGTAGTCTTAATGTTACCAACTGCTATGTGTGTGGAGGTACTAACATGGGAGACCAATGGCCTTGGGAAGCAAAGGAGGTAATGTCCGGTTCTGAGGCAGTTGACCAATTAATATCTACACAAGCCGACTATCATATGAGTGTTAGAGGTAAATCTGAGTGGAGATTGAAGACCTCCATCATAGGTTATGTTTGCATAGCGAGGAAAGGAATGATGTATAATACTTCTGTAGGAGAATTAACTTGTCTAGGGCAAAAAGCTTATGATGATGATACAAAGAATACAACTTGGTGGTCGGCTTCAAATGTCTCAGAACCATCTAACCCGTTTGCAAGATATGCCAATTTAAAGGACGTATGGTTTGATCTATCCATCACATCTAACTGGAGAGCCCCAGCGAATTTGTACTGGATCTGTGGTAAGAAGGCCTATTCGGAGTTACCACAGGACTGGGAAGGGGCATGTGTGTTGGGTATGTTGAAACCATCCTTCTTCTTGTTGCCTATTGAAACAGGTGAGACTTTAGGTGTTAAAGTGTATGATGTGAATCATAGGAAGAAAAGGGGACCCATAGAGATAGGTGCCTGGGAAGATAATGAATGGCCTCCCCAGCGTATTATAGATTATTATGGGCCAGCCACGTGGGCAGAGGATGGTACCTTTGGTTATAGAACCCCTATTTATATGCTCAACCGCATTATAAGGTTACAGGCGGTGGTTGAGATCATTACTAACGAGACATCACAAGCGCTCAATCTTCTAGCGAAGCATAATACCAGGATGAGGACAGCAGTTTACCAAAATAGATTAGCCTTGCATTATCTTTTGGCAGTAGAGGGAGGTGTATGTGGGAAGTTTAACCTGAGCAATTGCTGTCTTCAAATAGATGACGAAGGGCAAGCAATAGCTAAGCTTACTAGCCATATGGTTAAACTAGCGCATGTGCCTACTCAGGTATGGAAAGGGTACAATCCAAGTAGTTGGTTTGGTAGCTGGTATGAGTGGTTTGGAGGGCTTAAGGCAGTGGTAGGTGGAGTCCTACTGATTTTAATGTTGTGTCTACTCCTGCCGTGTCTTATACCCTTAGTAGTTAGGTCTGTGCAAAGCCTGATAGAAAATATAGCAGAGAGGAAGGCTGCTGCACAGATAATGGCAATTTATAAATATAAGGCTCTAGATCAGGGAGAACCAATGCAGGAAGACGAGTGTTGAAGATTCACATCATAGGATAAGTCTGGTCTGGTTCAAAGGTAACTTGTGGTGTATGCAAACCAAGGTTAAGTGATGCCTCAAGTAATTGTAAAATATCAAGAGGCATCAAAGGGGGGAATGTGGTGGAATCTCGGTAAAAATAAATTTAGTAGGCCGAGATTACCACGTGGCATGTGTACGTGCATATGCTGACGTATCGATCAGTTGGTTGCACGAGGCAAGATACGATCAGTAGTGTACGGAGCATGTGCAAGAATACAGGATGTAGTATTCCCCTCCTCCATTGTGCTGGACAAGCCATGCGGTCAAGCAGGAAGTTAATTCTTATTTGTAATGATTGGTCAAGAGAATGTGCGGGTGGAGCTTAATATGGGAGGAGTTATGTGCCTATATAGGGAGCCTGCACTATTGTTCGGGGCTCAGAACTTGCTGTATTTTTGGTGACATTAGTCCCTCTGAGTCCCGATCGGTGATCCAATAAAGAATCTCTTCCTTCCTGAAGAAACCTGTGTCCATCTCTCTGTGCTTTGCTTCCGTCAGTTTCTCCGGTATCAGATTTACTTGAAAGATAAAAACATAAATTAGAGAGAGATTAGCCTTTTCTTATAGCTGCTGTTTCATTTCTCTCCAGCACCATCTCCATCAGATACATGATGCTTGGGAGTGTTTTACTGTTTTTGGTCGATATGATTCTGTAATTAGGCCTGTCATAATTGTCAGCACCAGGCCCACGTGGCTCTTAATCTGGCCCTGTACACGTCAGACGTATTAAAATACGTCTGACGTGTGCAGGAGAGAGAAGGCACTCTCCTGTCTGTCAGCAGAGGAGAGGGGGCGGGCAAAGACCACAAGCTGAGCTGTCAGTCAGCTCAGCTCGCGGCCGCACACACCGCGCGCATGCACGGTAGAGCGCTCAGGACTTCGCCGCACATGCGCACAAGGGAGCAATGATGCTTCAAAATGGAAGCGTCTGATTGCTCCCTGCTCGTGCCCACCTATTTCGTCATTTTGATGAAATAGGGGGTGTGGCTTCACGAGGCTCCCGGCGCTGGAACCAGGTGAGTAAAAACGGGCTGCCTGGAGAGTCCCTTTAACTATAGCATTAAGCAGGACCAGACTGGGAAAAATGTTTGGCCGCAGCATTTTTTAATCAGAGTGGCCAAGTGGGAGGAGGTAGGGCATGCTGTGTCATCTCCAAAGACAAGCATGCTCCCCCCCCAAAGTGAGCATGTGAGTTCAGTGACATCCAGGGCAGCCCATGTGAATAGCCCTGCTGAAGAGCTCTCTCTTGGAAAGGGCCCTATATTTGATCTGCACAGTATAGTGTGTGCAGGTGACTTGTCTCTGGTGTCTCCATAAGTGGGATAAAGAAGATAAAGGGGCCAGAAAAGAGTATTGTGTTTGTGTTTGGAGACTGTTTCTGGGATTGCGTGATTGTAGAGTGAGCTGTTTGTGGTATGAAATTTCAGGTGTGTTTTGTTTGTGGTCAGTTTCAGTTTGTGTTTGTGGTGTAGTATGTGTGGCTAGGGGCTGTAGTGTGTGTATAGGGGGCATAATTGTGTAATGGGAATGAGGCTAGTATGTGCATATGGCTATAGTGTATGCTTGTGTATAGGGGATGTAGAGTGTGTGTGTAGGGGCTGTAGAGATTGTATTTGTTTTTAGAGAATGTTGCGTTTGTGTACAGGGGATCTAGGAACATTCTTAGTTATTAGTTATCTTGATATACGTTATCATTTTAGAGTGCAAGCCCACAAGCCATCTTGCTTTGTGCTTTCTATGAAAGTGCTACAAATGCTTGCAAAAAGTTCTCCATGCTTTTGTAGCAGTATGTCAAACTGTATGTATGTACATAGCGGGGAATGTGATGCAAATAAGAATAATGGAGCCTACCCCAAATACCCCCCAATAACGACAGACACCGAATTTGGATGGAAAAGGCCACAGCATTTATTAAACATAAGACTGAAGGACTCATCCAACATTTATTAAGCTTTATCATTTAATTATAACCAGAAATAAATACATAAACAATCCATAACTTAACATATAATTATTAGCACCTAGTGCCCTACAGACTTAGCTTACATAAGCATCCTTGCCAATAAAAGAAACCACGTGCCTATGCACCAACTTGTCCACAGGGTTCTCACCTCCCCCCTCGTCCAAACCAAATTCCCCTTTCCTTTCAATGCTTACCACCAGCCTGCATTTAGCACGGTGGGAACGTCCAAGTCGGTAACTTAAAAGTTTACCCTACAGAGCAGGGGAGGTTGAGACCCGACCTTGTCGATATCCTGACACTCCATGTAATAGCCACCAAAACCTACTGGCAAGGACATGCCCCCCGCCACAACCCCACTGTTTTAAGCCTAAAATCAGTGGGGACCCCACCCAAACTACCCGAGGCCTGTTACACCACTTCCTGCATGGCAAGATTAAAAAGGTTGAGCCCGACCTCCATGAGGCGAACTCCATCACCCAGAAACACATTAGCTGCTACCCGTGCGAAAACACCCCATGGCGAACCGGAATCCCTTTACACTCAAACAAACCTAGAGACCCTCTAATTTAGCTTCATATGGCAGCGTTACATGGCTCTTATTATGGGCCCGCTGCCAAAAGATTCGGGAAATGACCTCCGACCAATTGAGCCACACATCATGAAACAAACTAAAATACACACCAAGTCCCTCTTAAGGGCAGACGCCAAAACCCCACATTGGCATCGTCCCAAGCTCATTGCCCCCAGGTGGAACAGCTGAACCTGCTCTGAAGGTGGGACAGCTGAACCTGCTCCGGGTTGAGCTGAACCCATTTCATACCTCTGGCACCAAACCAACGAACCTCCGCTTCAAAAGGCGTAAAAACCCAATAGCTCACCTTCCGGATTTTATCCCTAATTTATCCTGGCACAGAATACAGAAGAGTGCACGATCACCCAAACCCTGGGGGAGTCGAACCGGCGGGGTGAAACCTCAACTCAGGAGACAGGCGGACAAACATATGAGACAAACCGCTGAGATTCCCACCTCCCGATCCTCTGCACTGCGGGCGCGGGCATACCCATCCTAAAAGCATCCAAGGCAGCACCAATCCGAAAGGAATGCCCACAATATTCCTTGCTGTCAATCCCCAGGACCCTTTAGCCTCGAGCGAAAGACCCAAAGAATTGGGAATGAGAAAGAAAGATCCCATCCGCATGAACCAAAAGAGGATCCATGAATACTGGGCGCAGCTCACAGTGCTCCACAAAGGAAAAACAGTGCAAATAGCCAAACCCCCATACCCTTGCAGAAGACATCCGACCTCGAGTTTCAAATTTTTAGAGCGAAATGATCCGCAGAGCACAGAACAGCGGCAAACAACACCCCACCACTGCATGGCCTACTAGGAATCACTAATTTCCCAATGCGCATGGTCCCAAAGAATGCCAGGGAATAGGCCAGCGCAAATAGACAGGCCTCGAAATTGAGTACCACCCAGTCTTGTCAGGAGCATACCGTAGACCGACCTTCCGGCATCCGCGTAAGCAACATGCCCCCCCCAAGCCTGTTAGCACCTGTCACACTACGAACACCATGGCAGAATCTTCCCACCCACGTAGCTTGAACAGGAAGCAAAGACCCACAAAATGTGAGGAGATAGCAAAGGGGGGGGGACTCTCCGCTAAAGTCCTGAGAGGTGGGCAGTTGAGACATCAAAACCACCTGCAGCATGCTCCCATCAGTCCAATCGCAAAGATGTTTCTGCCCAGTCCCGAACCGGGGACCTTTCACGTGTTAGGCGTACATGATAACCACTACACCACAGAAACCCTGTCCACGAGGCCCAGGAGACTGACCCAAGGACCAAATCCCTCAATCTGCTAGACCAAGCGACCACATCTCCACTGGGCATGGAGTCCCTTCCAGATCCGCCCGTGGGAAGACCGCCCGAAAATCCCAACCTTTGCAAACGAGAGAGTATCCGCCACTACAACGTGAATGCCAGGAATATGCTCTGCCCTACAAGACACGTTTAGACACCAAAACGCTGCAGCAAGCCAACTACTGGAGGGGAGGAGGCTGTCAGACGATTGACAGCTTGAACCCCCCAGAGTACCGCAGTGAAAAACAACCCATTTTCCTTAAATTGGGACCTCCAATGCCACTAGCATTGGAAAGAGATTCCCGGGAGCCCATTCCTAGTGAGGCCAAAGACATGCCAACTGTCCGGCCAATAGGCAGCACACCATCTGGAGCCCAGAATCACCCCAAACCCAACTGAACCACACCTCATGAAGAGGTGTAGGACCGCTTTAGAGATCTCAGGCGCCTTCCAGTAGGACCTGCCATTATATGCGGCCTGGACGGAGTCCAAGATCCCAGGCCATCCCGCAGACCCTGAGTCAGCCGAATGAAGCACCGGGGTCCAGTGGCCCCGGACATCATGCAGTCGGATCTTATGGAGCCCTAGGGCCAGACACGTCTCGCTGTAAGCCGCGAATCGGATCCGAGGCAAGCGCATAAACCCACCACAGAATCAATCTCGATGCCCCAGAGTCCCAAAGAGATGTCCCCATTCACCTAAACCCCACAAATGCCTGACAAATGAAGAATCAAACAGTTTTTCCCTTGCACCTCTTTGGCCACCGCGCCCAAGGGGGAGACCAGCCAGTCCAGTAGAGACTAGTAGAGTCACCTCCTTGACAAGAGTTTTCGATCACATGCGGGAAAAACACGGACTGACCAAAGGTTCCGAACCAGCAGCGAAGGGGGGCGAAAGAGAAAGGAATCCAAAAACCGTGCTCAACGCCTTCCAACAGGACGTTGGCTGCCCAACGCATCCTATAACCGGCTAGCCACGGGCACATCGTGCCTACGACCACTGGCATTGTTGCCTGTAGAACCCATAACCCCTGTCTCACTAGCTTGTCCCCATTGGAAACACCGGGAGATAGGATGAGCACCCCCACAGGCGGAGCATTCGGTGCACGGGGCACCCCATGTACAATGACTGTCATTAAATGTGCAACAACAGCCTCACCTGTGTTGCGCATCCGGGGAGGCGGATGATCCTCCCCCACCGGCCTCCCCAAGAAAGGATGAGAAACCACCCTGCTGCAGCGCAGGTCATCATGGGGACCCAGATGCCATGTCCATCTGGTCCCAGAAAATTGAGGGGTGCACTGCCAAACGTTGACGAAATTACTCATCACACTTCCACCATAGATACGACAAGCGTTCCAAATTGTGTCCTGGTAGCAGAACAATGCGGAGCACTTGTGAGGCACCTTCTCCCCAATGACACTAGATTAAAAACGCACAAATCCAATTTCCAAAAGTCCTGGGGACCATCCGGTAACGGATTGTTCTTTCTCCTTCTCTGATTCCTCGCTGTCCTTCTCCCCCCAGTGGAGTAGCCTCCTCCATTGGCAGAAGGGAGAAAATTTCGACCAATTCTCCCTTCCCAATTTTATCCCTAATTTCCTGCGACAGGTGAAAACCCAGTGGCCCAGCCCAGCACATATAAGCGGACCCCCGCGTCACATCGGAAACATCCAGAGAGTCACCCGTCACCGCAGGAACCTCAACTGCACCCATTACCTTGCCTACAGCAGCAGTTGCGGTAGCACCCAACACCACCAATGGTACACTAGTGACACTAGGCACGGGCGACCCATGACCCCTTGCGCAGTCCGCACCACTTGAGGCAGCTGTGCGGCAGACCGTCCCGCGGAAGCTGACTACCTAAGGGGGAATCCCTTGCACGCTTGGGCCCCCTGTTTCCACTGATCCAGAAAAACCCTAAAACCCGATGGGAACACCCCCAGCGAGGTACCCCCTCACTGTAAGAAAGAAAAAGTACCGTACTCACCAGCCGATGCCCGTTGAGCAACCCGCAGCAAAAGAAATGATGAAGAACCCGGCAGGATTTATTCAGTCTTGCAGGAGTTCCAGGCACCACCTGCTGGGCAGTCCCAGGAACAGCAGCCAGATCCTGTGAGCAGCGGAGAGGAGGTAAGCTCACACCCCGCAGAGGAGGGCAGCCGGGGTATGTAGCCAGGGGAGAGAGGGGGAACAGAGGGACCAGCAGGAGGAGGAGAGGGGGACCCCCGAGGCCATCCCCTGTACCCAGAGGACACACCATAACCTAGGGAGGACCCCCCACAGCCCCCCAAAGGAGGCACAGCCGTGCCCCGCGGGGCCCACTCACCACCTGGCACATATTCATCCACATATAAAAATGTGATTAATGAAATTTAGGAAAAGTTGTGCCGAGCAACATTACTGTCTTGACAGGAAAAGTTGTGCCGAGCAGCAATCAAATACACATGAGGGTTTGTGCTGAGCAGCAATTATGCAAATGGAAACCTAGTAACTGCCTTTGGGGTCAAAGGCCGATTACAGCCTGTCAGATCCAGAGGAGGGGTATTTGGGCCCAGTTCTCATGCTGCTCAGTGCCCTGTCATGGTTTCCCTAGTGGTTGTTCCTGATTCAAGTTTCTTCTGTTTTTTGACTTTGGCTTTGATTTTGACTTCCCTGTATTCTGGTATCCCTGACTTCTGGCTTTCCCTTATCGTTGTGTCTCTTTCTGTATCCCCTGACCTCGGCAAGTATCCTGACTACTCTTTGGTACGTTAAGTCCAGCCATTCTAAGGCCCGGTAATACATTACCTATTAGTCATCTGTGTGACACAATTCTATGTGTAATCCTGAAACCACCGCCGGCATGGTCACAGGTCCACCGTTGCGTCGACCGCGAGGCACCTAGGAAGGCCCCCAGACGCCCCAGGCTGTCTGGGTTGTGCAGGTCTTTATCGTCATGCGTCCCCGGCTCACTGCCCATTGCTGGGGGAGCAGGCCGCATGTCGGATGGGGCAGACACGCGGGCCTGGCGGTGCCTATGGTCCAGGCTCCAGCTCCTATAACGGGCCCGAGGTGTCGTATCTGGATCCAGACGAGCAGGCGGGCGAGAGCACCGGCCCGTGCTCGTGCAGCCTGTAGGGGATGTAGCAAAAAGGGAGGATGGATGTGGAATCAATCCTGTCTGCCCTCAGAGCTGCAGCGTCCCTGGATGGTGGCAGACACCTTCATGAGCAATTGGCATACCTCCAGCCCACAGACAGGGAGATGCGGCCGCCGGCTGGGGAGGGAGGGAGGAGAGAGGACCCGGCGGAGCTCTAACCAGCAGCTCCGCCGGGTCCTCTCGCGAGATTCTGAGTGTTGCCGCGGTTACCGCGGCAACTCTCAGATCTCGCGAGAGTAAACTCTAACCTGCAGGTTAGAGTTCACTCTCACCACTGGACCACCAGGGAAGGCAGCACAGCCCCCCCTCAAGGCTCCCCCTCCCAGCAGAGGCCTGGCTGCAGGGGGGGAAAAAAACCACACTTGGGGCCAAACCAGGCTGGAGGTATGCCAATTGCTCATGAAGGTGTCTGCCACCATCCAGGGACGCTGCAGCTCTGAGGGCAGACAGGATTGATTCCACATCCATCCTCAAGCAGAAAGTATTCGAAGCCCAGGACAAACAGGAGCAACAGAGTCAGGGTAAGTTGTTTGCTGGCCCGTCTCCCAAGAGGCACTGAGGTAAGATGATCCCTACACCACTCCCAAAGACATAACTACTCCCATACACACATACAACCAATCACAAGCATCCATCCCCACACTCATACATGTGCTCTTGTCTGCTTAGCTGCGCTATCTCCCCAGTGCCTAATGCTTCTATTGCTACATTTTATAAGGTACTCCGGATAAGAGGTTATATGAGAATTGTTCAGTAAATAAACAAGTGGTCATTGACAACTCATATGAGATTTTTATTATTCCATAATAAAGGCTAAAGCTCACAACACCTCAAAAGGAAAAGTATAATACATAAAAGTCTGCGTTTTAGAGAAGCAGGATCAAATCCTTTCTCAAACTAACAGAATGATTCAGATGTTCTTCAGGGGGATCCGCATTTGGGCATTAATTCACTCAATATATCTTTACTTTCAGTGATATTGTTGGATATTAGGAATTCACTAGAATGGAGGTGAATGTCTCTGCACCTCATAGGCATTGCTGTGGGGGAGGTTGGTTAAATCGATAAAGAGTAGCAGGCAGGCCCGGACTGGCCATCGGGCATACCGGGCAAATGCCCGGTGGGCCGCGATGGCCGTGGGGCCGAGGCCGGCAGGGGAGATCCCAGGATCTCCCCGGCCGGCTCCTGCAGGGCCGGCGCTACCCGAGCGCCAGCCCTGCTGTGTGCCTCCACGGGCCGGTGGGGAGATCAAAGATCTCCCTCACCGGCCCACAGACAGGGAGATGCGGCCGCCGGCTGGGGAGGGAGGGAGGAGAGAGGACCCGGCGGAGCTCTAACCAGCAGCTCCGCCGGGTCCTCTCGCGAGATTCTGAGCGTTGCCGCGGTTACCGCGGCAACTCTCAGATCTCGCGAGAGTAAACTCTAACCTGCAGGTTAGAGTTCACTCTCACCACTGGACCACCAGGGAAGGCAGCACAGCCCCCCCTCAAGGCTCCCCCTCCCAGGCAGAACGGCTCCCTCCCCCTCCCAGGCTAAAGGTAAGAAGGGAGGGGGGGGGGGAAGGAACATAACTTTTTTAAAATTATTCATAAAAAAATATATATATATTTAAAATAAATTCCATAACAGCCCCCTCACAAACAGCACCCCCAGACACACACAGCCCCCCCCAGACACACACAGCCCCCCGCAGACACACACACAGCACCCCAGATACACACACAGCACCCCCAGACACACACAGCACCCCCTGACACACACAGCACCCCAGATACACACAGCACCCCAGACACACACAGCACCCCA